TTAAAATATGGATTTGCATCCACTCTCATAAATGATTAACTTCATTTTAAAATATATACTGTGCCTTCAGATATTAGCCAGTGATAGCAAGACATGGATATAACTTTATAAACAGGCATACATATAAGAAGGGATTGCATGTTTATCTGATATTGCTCGTCTATCCAAAAAGTATAGACATTATTGCTCTAAACCAACACTCCCCAGTAGAACTTTCTGTGATGATGAAATATTTTCTATCTGTGCTGTCCAAATTTTAGGCACTAGCTACACTGGCTAGTGTGTCTAGAAAATTAAATTTTTATTTTATTTTGGATAATCTGAATTTCAAAAATTCTGGAAAGTCTGGACAGCACAGCCCTGGACCACTAGTAGATTACTGCTTTCTCAAAACATACAGCTTCCAGCAAGCAGTGCACTTCCCTGCATCTGTGTTTAGCCATGTTATTCTCTCTGCCTAGAATGTTCTCTTGACCTTGTCCACCTAGTAATAAGTTCTCATGGTTGAAGACATACCTGAATATCACCTTTCTTTAGCTTTCTTCCACTACTCTGCACTCCACAAAATTAACTGCTCCCTCCTATCCGGTCCCCCAAGCCTTTTTACACCCTTCCATTACAACACCTACAGCTATTTGCTCATGTGACTAAAGTTCTGAGTGTGAGTTCGGTTCCTCCAGGGAGCACCCTTTTGTATTTATCACTGCATTATGTCCAGCACCTAGTGAGTGCTTGGTTAACAGTTACCGAACGCAGCAATGAATGAACCCAGGAACCCTGACCTCCCAGTTTATACTGTAAGGCTCCCTCTACCACACCAAAAGGGGGCTCCAGAAAAGTAGGCTGAAGGCTATTCTGCCACTTCACAGGGCTAGATGCTACTTCAATAGCAGTTTGGCTCTTTCAGATGCAGCTATCACAGCTATCACAGTTATTTCTTAAGCAGGCTCAGAAAGCATTATCCTCTGAAGAGCACAAGATCAAGGCAGATGGTGGTGGTAGTCCCCTTTCAAACACTGCAAGTTAAAATGACTACTCTGATGCAGTAATATTTTTTCATATGTACTTTGTTAATATTTATCAAGCTTTTCATGTGTACTCTACATGCAGTTTTAGCTACTGAGGTACAAGTGCATGACTTCTGTCATGCTTCTCACTCAAAACCCATGTGAAAGTATTTCTTTCTCTTTGTCTCTCAAGAAGTAAGAGTGACTTTGTTATAAAGACTAAAGGAAGGGCTTTGACCATGCAGTTGCTTATTCTGGATTTATTTCTGAATTCTAGATTTAGCTATATATAGCAAAGCTATAACCATCATCATGCCTGAAGCCAGGAAGACACCATTCACAAACCACCCCCTGAAAATCTGCAGTTGCCACTAAAAACGAGACTTCCCAGCAGGTAAAGACATCTGAAGTGGGAGGGATCAAATTGGTGTTTGTGTCAAGAGAAGACCTTGGTGCTTATAACCACCTCTCTGCCTGGCACAAAAGCTCTCCATGACATTATCTCCTTTTCTTTTCTCTTCAACATAGCTTCTGCTCTCATCAAACATCCTCATTATCTCCCGTCTACTCCTTTTTGTAACACTGGGCATCTCACTACCCCAACCTGCTTTGCTTCAACCTTCTTGCCTCTCTTGAACCTTCAGGATTATTTCTTCACCAGACTCTAGCCATGCCTTTGCCCCACAATTAGCACAGGGCTGAGGCACAGACGGGGGAGCGGGGCCTACTGGATAGCAATTCAGTACTTGATCAATAGGTCCAGGGCTACTGAAGAAAGCGAGCAGCAGGCACAGCCTGGGAGCAAATGTAAAAGAATTTCTTTCTACCATTCCGGGTCCTTCTTTCCCTGATTATGGAAGGAAAATCTATGCCAACCAAAATGGTAACACTAGACTAGTCAGTATTCCTGGAACTCTTCATTCTGTTTCTCCTCACCACAATTCTGTACATGCTACTGCCTCTGCTTGGAAGGCCTTGAGTAACCCTCTTCTGGAACATCTGTTGGGCAATTTCTATTCCTGTTCAACCTGCACTTTATCTGTAAACCTCACCCCCAGGCCCTTTCTCTTTATCAGCTCACATCTTTTTACCACCTACTATACACCGAGAGTCATGCTATGTGCAGGATACTTATCTCAGGGTCATTTCTTGGTCTATGAGCTCCGTGAGAGCTGGGTCCAACCCCCATTCATCTTCATAGTTTTAGAACTTCATACAGTGTCTGCCACAAGAAGGTACCAACAAACCTCACTGAATAATACGTGCATGCATCATGCTGATGCCACCAACACTTTATCATTGTATGTCTGTTGGTTTGGTTTTTTAGGCAGTGTCACATACATTTTAAGCACCACTACTTTGCACTGTAGGTAGGAAAAACTGTCAAAGTTTACTGGTAAGGAGACTTACTCACTAGTTCTCATTAGCCTGAGACCTGGATTCCTCTAGTATAGGTGAGGAAACTGTTCTGAAGGGCCACATGGTCCACCTTACATAGATGCAGTTCTGGAATGTTGTCTTAGACACAGCAGCTTTTCAACAAACATTTATTTCTTGTTCAAAGCTTAAACATAAGGTCTTATGTAGCTAAGGAAGTATGATAAAAGCACAGCTTCCCAGTCATTCTTTCAGAAAGGTTCCAATATTCCTATTGAGCTCATTCTGGAAGCTTAAACCAAATCTTCCCTTGACATCACATGCCCTCACATCAGACATGATGTAGCATCTTCTCATGGCATCTTCACTGAGAAAACCAGAGAAAATATCCCCGCCTGCACCCAATTGAGAGACAGCCTCTGAACTCAGGACTTCACATGAACTCAGCCTTCACGTCAACTCAGCCTTCACGTCCCTAAGACAAACAAGCCCCAGCTGGACTAGTTAGTGACATGAGGCAGGCAGGGCTGACAGCTGCTGCTGACGGAGAGATGGCAGCTCAAGCATTCTTTCATCTTACTCCAGCGCCTCCTCCTTGAGGCTCCTACAATTCCTCACTGTAAAGCATAGACCGATACCCATGTTAGGGAGAAAGGGATGAGCAGTGGGATGTGGTGGTAACATGTTCCCCCAACCTGTTTGAACCCCGCCCACCACCCCTCCCGGAACTGCCTAGACCCTTCCCTGGTACCCAGTGTACCACCCTCCTCATCCTCAGACAAGTCGGGCTGCAGCTGGTGGCTAGATCAGCACCTGCAGACTCAGAGCAAAGAGAGTCCAGGGAGTTCCACAGCTACCCAAAACATCTGTTGACCCTTTTTTTTAAAAGGGGAGACCTCTGCAAAGAACATCTGGCTCTGTCCACCCACAGGGAGGAAAGGATTGCTGCAGCCAAACTAGCCTTCACACTGTGCCCCGCCCCACAACTCCCCCTAAACTGTACTTACATCTGATATAATCTTTAACATTGCTAGTAAATAATGGCTGCCATTTACTGAACACCTAAAAATGGTCAAATAATTTATATACATTGCCTCATTTAATCTTCAAGGCCATTCTGTGGGGCAGTGGTTCTCAAACCTTAGCTTTTCTCAGAATCTCTCCAGGAACTTGTTCAGGGCTCATACCCATGGTTTATAAGGTGAAGCCTAAATTTCATTTCTAACAAGCTCCCAAATGATGCTGATCCAGGCTCCACCCTTTGAGAACCACTGCCATAGGGAAACAGTGAGGTGTGAAATGCTTTATCCAAGGTTTCACAGCTAGTAAAGAACAGATCCAGAACCTGAAGCTTGATCTGCCTGACTGTACAAACAGCGCTGGCCCCCATGCTATTGTACGTGTAAATGTTTGCCTTGTCTTTCCAAACTCCCTGACTGCTCCTTACAGGAGGACATCACATTTCAGACCTCCCTGTATACCTCTCAGAACTTAGTAGTGCTTCTGTACTGGGTAGATGCTACACAAATACTTTGAATACTGGCTCTTACATAGCTACATACTTTCTCAACAGCCACAACAAACTCAATTACAGTCAACATAACACGAAGGCAACATTGCCAGACTCAGTTTTACATAAGACTCTCTTGCTACTGTGAGTCTTTGTATATGCTGTCTCCACACCTGGATAATTCCTACTCATTCTTCAGTCAGTCACTTCCTGCAGAAAGCAATTATGGACTCTCTAAAACTGGGGCCACTGCACCCTCAGCTTATCTCCAAGACAGCATATATCACTTTATTTTAACTGGCTGTTTTCCCATCTCTCAAAATAGTTTGTAAACTCCAACGTCTAGTTTCATGTCATCTCCTCAGAGCCTACTGCAGTGCCTGGCACATCATACACTCCATAACTGGTTTGTTGAACAGACAAAATAATAAACAAATGTGGAACTTCAAGCCCTAAGTACCATTTAAAGATATAATGAATGATGTACAGTTTTAGGGGATGAATTCTGGGGAAGAAGAGGGTAGCCTACGTCACAGAGACCAATTTTGCCTTTTCTCTTCCCCATCGCTCAGGCTCTGAGAACAGGCACCACTTAGGGTAGCACCATCTATAATGAGTTAATATCCTAGCTGAACAAAATATTCCTGGGTTATAAGGCCAGCAGAGGCCATTCAGAGGGAGGCAAAGAGCTCTTGATGTGCCCCCTCATTCCTCCAGATTTCTCTCTCACACGCTTTTCCATTTCTCCATCCCACTGCAGTCAAGGGATTTGGCACAGGGATGAAAGACAGAAATCAGACTCAAGGGTGCGGATCTGGCAGCAGGCACAGAAGCGTCTCCCATCCTGCACCAAAGCCCAAAAGGAAAGATCCAGAGGGACAGTGACTCAGGCCCCAGATTAAGTCCAGCTAGAGCAGTACCGAGAATGGAAAAAAGCAACAATTTCATAAGGACGTTAATTGTCAGATCTTTTTTAAAACTGTTTTTAAAGTAAAGGTTCAACCCTCGTCCCAGAAAAATGGGCCCAGCAGAATCCAGTGCTTACACAAGCTGAGAGCCAAACATAGCTGCTTCCTCCTCCCAGTCCACCCGCCTGCAACACTCACCATGACAGGCATTTCCAAAGCCCAGGTTGGGACCCTGGCTTCAACCTCAGCTTGCGGAAAGCCTCCTCCTCTGGCTAATAAACTGTTCCCCCACCACTACCCCCTCATTGCAGTGAAAGAGGCCTCCTCTTTCCCCACCCCCTTCAGCCAATAACACAACCTACAGCAGGTTGGCCCTATCCAATTAGTTTGAATAGCTTCATGCCAAGGAAATTGCTGCTTTTATTAAAAATAAAAGCACACAAGCAGGCAATGGACTGTGTAAAGTATAAGTGTGGCATAATTAGAAAGGTCAAGGTTAAGGTTACCAAAAGAGACATGCAAAGATTTCCAGAAAGCCTGGGGATAAAAATATATAGCTACAAATCTATAGATACACAAATGAACACACATGTATGGAATTTACACAGATCTAAAGAACATTCTCTCCAAACAGAGGCAAAGCAAAAATCGGATGCCACTCTCAAGTAATCCTTACGGGGAAAAAAATTTAAAAAACAAAAAACCTAATACAGGAGGAAGAGGGGCCTACTACACTGATTTCAAAATAACCACATTCATTTCATGTAATTTCTGTTATCTTAGCTACATCCTGGGGACCTGATTACAGGAAACAAACCTAGTCAGATCCATTGGGTCAGGAAACAAACCTAGTCAAATCCATCAAGAGCCTTAGCTCTTAGAAAAACACATTCCCATTCTCTGAAAATCCTCTCTTCTTCCAACGCCTGCTCATGAGAGTGGGAAAGTTGGGAAGGAGAAGGGGAAACCCTCTCTCCTCTTAAAGATCCTCCATCCCGACCCTGCAGTCCTCACATCAAGATTTAACGTTTAGGAGGATGACAAGCCCACCACCCTACATTTGACCTGAAGCTTTACGTTTTCACACATGTGTTTGTTCGTCTGATCCTTCTAATTCGGTGAAGCAGACAAGATTTGGCTTGTCAATATTTTTTTTT